CCCCAAAACCCCAAAACCCCAAAACCCCAAAACCCCATATAATTCCTTTTGAATTGAAGATTATAAAATTAAATAAGATGGGCTGTTGTCTTTGCATACCCACCAAGCCAATGAACTATATGAATGATGTTCCTAATTACTCTCTTTATTTCCATGCACGTGTGTGGAACCAGCATACGCATGGTCTGTTTGATTTTGATATGGATAAGGAAATATTTGACTCCCAAGACGTCATCAATTCCTTCTTTACTACTAAAAAGAACTGATTTTTATACTCTTATAACGAGAAGGTGAATACCTTCGTGCCCACATGTGAGAGAGAAAAGGCTGAAAGAGAATTGTTGCTCAGTATTGCCTTCAAAAATGGCAGATATTGGATCATGCCTGTAAGTCCGCTTCCTCACTTCTGTTTAGAGCAGAGACTTTACAATGATAGATGCACTAGTCAATCCATCCGAGCAAGCCTGGATTGTTTTGAAATAACATGAATAAGAATATATTCAAAGAAAAATATAAAAAGAAATATGGCTACAGACTTACTGGGGGAGACACTATAAAATTTGGCAGAGTCAGGTTCGTAGTTAAGGTCATCAGCGATTCTGACTACGAAGCCAAGCCCACACTGATTATGAAGGAGGAACAAGAAGAAGAAGAGAAAAATGAGCCTGGAGGTACTATTCGGAATAACTTTAGATGCTCAAAGAGATAAAACCTTTGAGGAATTTGATAAGTTCAATGAAAATGAAAATTTTCAGGTATTCTCCAATTGATCTACCCATAGGATGGAGGGTTCAGCCAACGCAACAGAGTTGAAGATGAAGCAAGCATGAATAAGCTCAAGAAATCCCTGAAGATTCTTCAGACCATTCCTAAGCAATCTTATGAAAGTTCATTATTCTTTGAAATGATGAGCAAGCCAGTTGAAGATTTCATGAGTGAAAGATCCTCTGAAGCAGATGAAAAGTATAAGGATGACGAAGTTGTTGTCGACCTTATCGAAAAGCTACCCACTGAGGATAAGGTGTGCAGGATTTGTCTTGGAAACGAGACAGAGGATGAAAATTGTGAAGAAAATCCTCTATTTGCTCCCTGAGTCTGAGCAGGAACTATGAAATATGTACATCTTGACTGCATGAAGCAATGGGTACATGCTAAAAGACACTCTAAAGAAGGTTCTAGAGTAAAGTCCTACAATTGGAAAAATCTTGAATGAGAGTTATGTAAACATAAAATCCATGAAGAGTTCGAATTCAAAGGGAGAAAGTATTACTTATTAGATTATTATCGACCAACTGAAGGTCACTATTTAATTCTGGAATCATTCACTAATACTCCTCATAAAACCATTCATGTGATAACTATCTCTGATGATGAAGCCAATAGAAAGAAAGAATACCTCATAAAAGTAGGAAGAGGGGCTGAAGTTGATGTGAGAATCACTGATATAAGTGTTTCAAGAGAACATTCAAAGATATATTTTTCTAAAGGTGAGTTCTACTGAATTGATAATTACTCAAAATTCGGAACTGTAGCACTTTTAAGGCAGCCAATATCTCTTCCTCAAAAGGGGGAGCATTATTTTCAGCTCCAAGTTGGCAAACATCTCATTGAGATTGAATCTGAGAGTCATATGAATTGATGTTTCTGCAATATTACCAATAGGATAAACAAGAAATATAAAGGGCCGCTATACGATGATTTTAAGCATTTATTACCTCATCACTTCAGCAGAAAGTTGGAATGTTTAGACAATCTGACTAAAGTGCTTGAGACTCTCAATGTCGAGGAAGCTGAAGAAGACCTTAACCGTGAAATCACCCGTCTCAAATTAGCAAATGAGAGCTTAGTTTCGCAAAGAACTATGATGAACAAACCTGTACTTCCTGATATTGAGGATGTAGAGAAGTTTCATACCCAAGATCTTCGGATGAGTGATAGGAATGCTGAAGATAGAGAAGACGGTATTGATCAGACCAGTTTACATCCCAAAGAAATGAACACCATGAATGATATTTCTCAAAGAAAGATAGTCCCAACCTATGGAGACACTAGCGTGAACGGGGGAAAAGACGTCCATATCAGCATGGGTCAATCCACAATGGTTATGACTTCAAGCCCTAGCCGGAATGTCATAAATAAAGTTTTAATGAAGAATAATTCAACTAAAGAGAAGTTTGCAGAACAGAACCATAGTGTTCCTTCTGGAAATCAATTTACTCTGAATGAGAACAATTCTTCGATAGTCAGAGGAGAAATGAGAGATAAGCCAATGAAGGTTTCCAAGATGCTTTATGAAGAATATAAACACCCTAATACTATAGAGGAGGAAAAGAAGGAAAATCCTATGGTTCAAGAAAGGAACTCTTCCCATCTACCTTTCTATAAGTCTGATAGTGACAATAGCGAAGAGGAAAAGGTTCAAGAAGTAGCACTGAGAAACAATGTCTTCATGAAGCAAAATGAAGATGAATCTCAAGGTGATGGCAATATACAAATTGAGAACCTAAAGAAAGTTGTCATCAAGCCACATTTGAATTCTTCAAATGTAAATTCCAGAAAGTAAGCCTTTATTCTAAATATCTAGGATGAGCGAAGAAAGCTCCCATAACAGAAGTAGTGCTAAGGTCAGCAATAACTGGGTCTCGAGGGCGAACAGCTCATCTTTAAACCCTCCAAACTCTCGCAATCTTCATAGTAGCGACAGAAAGAGAGAGGAACTTCTCAAAGAAAGTGAAGAAATGTTACAGGAGCTCTAGAGTTGCCATAAATTTATTAATAATGTTTCAATTGAAATAGCTCTTTCTGGGGTTTTGGGGTTTTGGGGTTTTGGGGTTTTGGGGTTTTGGGG